AGCCTGACCCTGTCTCAAAAAAGCCAAAAAAGGAAAAAAAATGCCAGAATTGAGAGGCCAGCTGAAGCCAGAAAAGTGGCTGAATTGAAGCTGGGAGACAGGTAGTGCAATTGGAGGATCTTGTTGACCCAGTTAACTAGGTTTTTTTCCTAAATGTGATGGGAATCAATCAAGGTTGTGTGTGTGTGTGTGTTGCTCTGTTTTGCGGCAGTGCTCAGGCTGAATCCAGGGCCTCTTTCATGGAAAGTATGTCTCCACCACTGAGCCACAGGGCCAGACTCCCCATAAAAGGTTTTAAGCCAAAGCTCCCTGGACCCTAATTTGCAATTGAGAAGGAAAGGGAAATGCACGGGGAGCTGCTTGGAACGGATCAGAAGACTGGTCAGGCTGCAGAAATCTGGAGGCTGTGTTCTATCAGGGTGCGTGGTAAATGACACTGGCTTTTTGGGGGCTGGTTTCAGCCTAGACATGGAGATACGTTTGGGAGACAGAACTGACAGGATTTAATTAGCTGATGCGGAGGTGGAGAGAAGGAAGAGCCCTGGCCAGCTCCTTTTCCAGCTGTACTGCTGGTGCCGTTGTGGTGGTAAAAGCCTGTAATCCCAGCACCTGGGAGGCTGAGGCACGAGCCTCAGTCTGGGCACTTTTAAAAGAAATTATCATTTATTTAGTTATTAAGTTTTTTCAGAGAGCCTCTCCCTGTGTAGCCCAGGCTGCCTCGAACTCATGGCAATTCTGCCTCAGCCTCCCAAATGCTGGGATTATGCCCATGCATCAAGCCAGGCTCTGAGCAATTTTTTTGTTTTGTTTTTTGAGACAGGGTCTTGCTATGCAGTTCAGGCTGGCCTTGAGCTCACTTCGTAGCCCAGGCTGGTCTCGGAACAATCCTCCTGCCTCAGTCTCCCGAGTGCTGAGATTACAGGCGTGGGCCACCACATCCGGCCAATTTTTGAAAAAATTAAAACAAACAAAGAAAAGGCTGCAGCCTGCGGAGGTAGCTCACAGTGCGAAGATCCCCGGTACATTCTTTAGTATAAGGGCTTGTGGTACTGTGGTGGGAATTAGGGGGAAGGTCGGGAGCTCCGCTTTGAAATGACTGGAACGGCAGAAATTTGAAACTGATCTGGAATACCAGAAAGCCCACATAAAGTTCAGGGCACGGTCGAGAAAGGAGCATGAGGCCAGGAAAGAGGTAGAGATTTTCATTTGGGAGTTTCTGAGGACATCGTTCACAGAGATGCACTTTTAGAAAGGAACTTTGGCTGGCAGTGGCGGGGCACACCTGTAACCCCTGCACTTCCGAGGTTGAGCCAGGATTGCGAGTCTGAGGCCAGCACTTGGGAAGCTGCAGTGAATTTGAGGCCAGCTCAGGCTACATAGCGAGACCCTGCCTCAAAAAACAAACAAAACAAAACAGAAAATACTTTGAGGGGGAAAGGGAGGGGGCAGGCGAGGGGAGGTAGAAAGAGTTGAGTTCTGTACATGCCCCAATTCACTATGAGGAAGACTAGGGATACAGCTTATTATACACGGCAATCGTGTACTAATAAAAATTAAAATTAAAAAAAGGAACTTTGATAGGAAGCTCTAAATACAAAACACGGTACATTAATCACCTATTCTTTCTCTTTCCTTACCCTGTAATATTTTTTTATCAAACGATTTGGCTGTTTTCATTTATATCGTTGCCCACGACCTTTGAACTGGTAACTAAAACCCTGAGAGCCGAGCATCAAAGAGGTGTTTGATATTGAGCGATTTTAGTTGGTGGGGCTCTCAGCTTTTTGCGAAACACCATAGTCCCTTAGCCATTATGGATTCAGATGCCTATGGAAACACTGCATTTTACGCGCTGATGCACCTTGAAGAGCTGTTTATTTAACTCTTCCTTGAACAACTGATATGTCACCATGGGATAGGGCCCCTCTGGTGAACCAGACTTTCAGCCCTGCGCGGTGGCGAAAAGCCGGCAACCAGAGCCACCGGCGAGGCTGAGACAGGATTCCAGGTTGAAGTCAGCCAGGACAGTAAGATCTTGTCTAAAGAAAGGGTCGGGGAAGTAGCTCAGTGGTAGCTGTGTCTAGCATGTGCCAGGCCCTGGGTTCAATTTCCAGCGGCGCAAAAACAAAAACGCAAAAAACTTTTATAGCAAAAGTAGGTGACTATTTTTCATCAGAGGTGCGCGAGATAAAATTAGTACCCACGGCGCGTCTGAAATTGAAATGCCTTTGTCTCGTCTTTCGTGTACCTTGTACGCGGTTACAAAGGAAACGTCACTTCACATAAGATGTAGCTGCCAGGACTTGGGAAGGAGACACAATATCGTCCCCACAGTTGTCACCGCCACGCGGCTTTGTGCCGCCGCAAGTTGCTCCAACTGTGCCAGGAGGAGCCCGTAACTGCTTAAAAGGCCAGGGACAGAAGCGGGGTATTGCACAACCCGCCGGCACCGCGTCCGCTTCCAAATCTGGCCTTCGTGCGCCCCGGCCGCCCGGCCGGCCCCTCGCGCGCCGGGCTTCCCCGGC